GTGTGTGTGTGTGTGTGTGTGTGTGTGTGTGTGTGTGTGTGTGTGTGTGTGTGTGTGTGTGTGTGTGTGTGTGTGTGTGTGTGTGTGTGTGTGTGTGTGTGTGTGTGTGTGTGTGTGTGTGTGTGTGTGTGTGTGTGTGTGTGTGTGTGTGTGTGTGTGTGTGTGTGTGTGTGTGTGTGTGTGTGTGTGTGTGTGTGTGTGTGTGTGTGTGTGTGTGTGTGTGTGTGTGTGTGTGTGTGTGTGTGTGTGTGTGTGTGTGTGTGTGTGTGTGTGTGTGTGTGTGTGTGTGTGTGTGTGTGTGTGTGTGTGTGTGTGTGTGTGTGTGTGTGTGTGTGTGTGTGTGTGTGTGTGTGTGTGTGTGTGTGTGTGTGTGTGTGTGTGTGTGTGTGTGTGTGTGTGTGTGTGTGTGTGTGTGTGTGTGTGTGTGTGTGTGTGTGTGTGTGTGTGTGTGTGTGTGTGTGTGTGTGTGTGTGTGTGTGTGTGTGTGTGTGTGTGTGTGTGTGTGTGTGTGTGTGTGTGTGTGTGTGTGTGTGTGTGTGTGTGTGTGTGTGTGTGTGTGTGTGTGTGTGTGTGTGTGTGTGTGTGTGTGTGTGTGTGTGTGTGTGTGTGTGTGTGTGTGTGTGTGTGTGTGTGTGTGTGTGTGTGTGTGTGTGTGTGTGTGTGTGTGTGTGTGTGTGTGTGTGTGTGTGTGTGTGTGTGTGTGTGTGTGTGTGTGTGTGTGTGTGTGTGTGTGTGTGTGTGTGTGTGTGTGTGTGTGTGTGTGTGTGTGTGTGTGTGTGTGTGTGTGTGTGTGTGTGTGTGTGTGTGTGTGTGTGTGTGTGTGTGTGTGTGTGTGTGTGTGTGTGTGTGTGTGTGTGTGTGTGTGTGTGTGTGTGTGTGTGTGTGTGTGTGTGTGTGTGTGTGTGTGTGTGTGTGTGTGTGTGTGTGTGTGTGTGTGTGTGTGTGTGTGTGTGTGTGTGTGTGTGTGTGTGTGTGTGTGTGTGTGTGTGTGTGTGTGTGTGTGTGTGTGTGTGGTCCACCAGAACCATGCAAAACATGGCATGACCAATTACCTCCCAGAAGCTTTCCTGGATCCTTTTCTTCATCTTGTCATCTGGGGTCATGAGCATGAATGTCTTATTCAGCCTCGCCTTAGTGCTGATAATTCGTTCCATGTTGTACAACCAGGTGAGTGTTGTACTACAACCTTATTTTATTTTTGATTTCCTTGCCTTTCCAAATGTGTATTGGGAACTAATGAATGTGTTGATATTTAGCCATGTTCATATTTATTATGAATAAAGACTGATATACAGAGTTTATATATTTAATCATAGATGGTGAAATGTCCTGGACATAATATGTTAAATATTTTAGGATCGGTTTGTGTGTCACTTTGATTATTACATTCTTTTCCTCTGTCTTGCAGGAAGTTCAGTTGTGACTTCATTTTGTGCTGGTGAGGCTGTTGAAAAGCATGTTGCTCTTCTTGAGGTGAATAATAAGCAGTTGTTTAATGTAACCCCTCTCAAGCTAGAGACTGTCCGGCCATTTGTATTTGATGTAAGTATAACATAGAATATATTGACTTTAATGTCATTACTGGAAAAACTACGCTTTGTTTTTATGATTCATTATTTATCAAAGTTGTACTTAATACTATGCTTTATCTTTCAAATATCTATTACTAATTCTTAGCTTCTGTTCTTCAAGACTTTGCTGAAAGAGTGAATTAGCACATCTTGCTCTCTGAGCAAGATGTGCCATGGTTATTGTTGCAGATTTAATCTTAATTTCATTGGTAGTATTGCTGTTAGATTTACCAGTAGTATTTATTTGCTGTTGCCCCTATGTTTGTCATAATTTCTCTTCTGCAGAAGCACAGCTAAACTTGATATGATAACAAATGATGACATTCATTTGAACAGGATGTCTGCTTAGCTGATCAAGATCTGGATTATGTAATTGGAAACAAAGAAACCAACCCAGTAGAGGAGTTTATTGAGGAACACATCCATGGTATGATTAAGAAGGCCAAAGAACAACTCACAGGTACGATCACATTTACAAGAAGTATTACTCATCTGCATGACTGGAGAATGAAAAGTTAATGGAATGATGATATTTGAAATTTGTAATGTGACGTGTGTTAACCCATTGCCGCCGGGAATGGCATGTACGTACATGCCATGCCCACTTTGAGTTGATTTGTTCGATTGTTTTTACACATAGATGGCTACACTTGTACTAAGTATCCAATGAGCCAATTCAAGTACTGCCTGTCTCGCCCGTTCACCCTTTTCATTGATTTACGAAAATATTTAACGTTATCCTAATTTGCTGTTAAAAATAACACCATCTATATTTATAGCACTAGTAAGATACGTTTTTCCCGCCAATTTAAGGAAAGGTAAAATCAGGACTAACAGAGCCATCTATGGACAGAGATATTTCATAGAAATATAAAAAATGAGTACAGTATTTTCCCCATTTTTTGTTCATTTTCCCCGGCGGCAGTGGGTTAAGTACTTTTATACCAGAGTTGTTGACATGTCCCTCTTGATATCTAATATTAGGCACGAGGTCCATGAGTTTTATTTATTTTTCCAAACAGGTCATCCCAAACAACCCAAAAAGCCTCTTATCCGTCTACGAGTTGTATACACAGATGAGTCTCAGATGTTCAACACGACTCGATTTGGCCACAAATTTACAGATGATGTAGCAAATCCCAATGAAATGATCTTATTCAAAAAGCAGCGCAGGGAAATTAAGAAAAATGAAACTGACATTGATAAGGAGGCCATGAATGCAGTTTTTGCTGGAGAAGATGTAAGATTAGTTTCTGTTCTTGGTTTCCTGTGAAAAATGTTTTCTCAAGAGATATTTGTCAACAATGGAATATTTATTATGAAGTTAATGGTTTATGATCCCTCTAAGGTATTTTTCGTAATAGTATTCTTAAAGATTTATTTTCGTTTTTATCTTTAGGTTGCAGAGTCAAGAGTTGAGGATCTTGTGCAGCAATATTTTTCAGAGCTGTCAGATCAGAAACCGAAGCTATTCTTGCTTTCAGAACGGGGGGTCTCAAAGGGGGTAAACGCCTTTGTCGAGAAAGATGACAGAGATGCCATCAGTACTGTTTTTAAGTAAGATACTCACAGATTCTCATTAACTTAACTACTTTGAATAAATGTTATGAAAGTTGTGATACATGTACGTATGTATGTGTGTGTGTTTTTCCTTTTTTTCTTTTTTTTTCTTTTTTTTTTCTTTTTTCTTTTTTTCTTTTTTTTTTCTTTTTTCTTTTTTTCTTTTTTCATTTTTTTCTTTTCTTTTTTTCTTTTTCTTTTCTTTTTTTCTTTTCTTTTCTTTTTTCTTTTTTTTTTTCCTTTTTTTCTTTTCGTTTTTTCTTTTTCTTTTCTTTTTTCTTTTCTTTTCTTTTCTTTTCTTTTCTTTTCTTTTCTTTTTTTTCTTGGCCCCTGAGTTTAATGTTTATACAGTTCTTTCCTGAAATAAATGGATAGCTTTTATGATGCGAAGGATAATCTGTGCATTATTACTAGATAATGTTCTGTATTTGGTTGTCTTGGTAAGATTGTTATTTAGCTAATTTTAATTGCTATGTATTTCCTCTTTGACAGGCACCAAGTTAAGAAGACTGTGGATCACATTTTATCCCAAGAGGCAGATATTGATGAGGAAAATATTGTGGATGCAATTATCACCTATCGAGAAGAAAGATTGTCGAAGACTAATCCTCAGTTAGAGGAACAAGAGGTCTCTTTCTCTCTTTTCTCTCTCTCTTTTCTCTCTCTCTTTTCTCTCTCTCTCTCTCTCTCTCTCTCTCTCTCTCTCTCTCTCTCTCTCTCTCTCTCTCTCTCTCTCTCTCTCTCTCTCTCTCTCTCTCTCTCTCTCTCTCTCTCCTTCTCTCTCTCCTTCTCTCTCTCCTTCTCTCTCATTCTTTTCCACAAATTAAATAATGAATTGCATCTATTCCTGTGATGAAAAAATGTGTATCTATTCAACGCACTCATGTACATGCACAATTATTTCCCAAACCACACCAGTTCTGGGGTAGAATCAGTTGCTGGTATTATGAAAAGTTACATTATCAGTAAGGCAAACCACCAGTCTTTTTACACCATTTCTCACAGCAGTTTTCTTTGTTGTAGGCACAAGCAGCCTTAAGTAGTACAACAAGAGAAAGAAGAAAAGTTAGTGATGAAGATGATGATGCGATGGATGACCTTGACATGGATGATGACTTCAGCCCTCCACCAGCTAGGTGTGCTTTAGTGTTTCGTAAATTGTTGCCTGTTATTCATAATGGAAATTCCATATTTTGGGTGCATACAGGAGTTTATTACTTATGGTTGTTAATGTAGTGAATCAGAGTCTGCAGCTGCTTTCCTTTTTGCAGAGGAAGAGGATCGCGAGGAGGTCGGGGACGGGGCAGTAGAGGGTCCCGGGCCAGGGGCACTAGCTCATCAGCAAGCACCACTAAGACATCAAGCAGAAATCAGTTGTCTTTGATTGGGTGCATATCTTTTGATATTAAGTTTAAGAATGTGCTCAATATATTGTGTGTGGAAGGGAGGGCTTTGTGTACAGTGTAGTATAGGGAAAATATATATTATGGTTTTGTGTCAACACACAAAACCATAACATATATTTTCCCTTATTGACTTGATATTAATCTTGATAACTATGCTCTTTTTTTTTTCTAGTGATGGTTCTCCTAAAGTATCAGAATCTTCAACCAGGGCACGAGCATCACGAGGAAGAGGAAGGGGAATGGTAATATAATTTAATATATGTTTAATGAGTTGCATGGAAAATTACCCATATATGTTTTGTATGTACAGATACATTTATTATTCTGTCATTTATGCTTGTTTATACTTTTTTCCTTTAATGGCTTTTATGTGTCCTTTTTACAGACAAGAAATCAGAGTATCATGGAATCATTTTCTCGGGCCAGAACTGCTGCTTCAAGTCGTAAAGGAATTGTCTATGAC